CAGTTCATCCATGTGGCGTCAAAGACTCAGAAATCCCGGTGAACAAGTGTTTCAATATTAGCTTTCCAATAATTCCATTTCATGTAATAAAAGATATTCTATGTTATTTTGTCATGCTTGTCAGCTTGGCAAGCATATGCATTTACCGTTTACTTTATCTAAAACCAATTCTATGTTTCCTTTTCAAATTATACATTTGGAGTTTTGGACTTCTCTGGTTATAAGTCATAGTGGAATTAAATATTATGTCATTTTTCTTGATCAATTCTCTCACTTCTTATGGGCGTATCCCTTACGTATGAAATCTGAAGTGTTTTCTAAATTTATTCACTTTCGTGCTTATATCAAAAATCAATTCCATAATGATATTAAGGGGGTGTTTGCATAAATTAGATTATAGCTTATTAGCTTATTTGTGGTGGGAATAAGCAATAAGCAATAAGCAAGGGGGAGATACTTATTAAAATCATCTTATTTAGCTTATCCCTACCACAATAAACTGGTTTTTAAGGATTCCTATCCAAACACATAAACTTAGCTTATTGTGGTGGGAATAAGCAATAAGCAATACGCACCCACTTTTTTCTCTATCCATAAACCCCCTTAAAATGATTCAGTGTGATAATGGAAAAGAATTTGACAATCTCCAATCTTACGAATTATGTGACAATCATGGCATACACATGCGTTTTTCATGTCCTTACACCTCTCCTCAAAACAGTAGATCTAAGAGAATCCTTCGCTCGATAAAAAAACACAATCCGCACTCTTCTATTTCAAGCTCATTTTCCGCCTACCTATTGGGTGGAAGCCCTTAATATGGTAACTCCCTTCCTCAATATACTTCCATCCTCCAATATTAAAAATGGTACTCCCTATCACAAACTTATTTACAAACATCCCTCCTATAATAACCATCGTATGTTCGGGTGCCTTTGCTACCCTCAAACCAACAACACTCGAAAACTTCAACCTCGGTCCATGCCTTGCATTTTCCTTGGCTACCCGTCTCATCACAAAGGATTTCGGTGTCTTAACCTTCATACCAAACAAATTATTATATCTCGGCACGTCACGTTTGACGAATCCGTTTTTCCTTTTGGTTCCATGACACCAAACCATCCCCCCTGATTAAACTTTCTTGGATCTTGTGTCGTAATTTTTTCAACAACCCAACCAACCTTCCTCACCCTTTCGGTTCTATCGCATCCATCGACGGTCATTCCACTTCCGATGTTAACTCTTCTGTCGGTGTTTCCTCGGGTATCGACGACCAACCTTCAGTCGGTACTCATATAATCCCGACATCTCCTCCCAACATTACTTTACCATCTCCCACCCTACCCAATCTCCTGTCTCCACTTCCGCTCCTACAAACACTCATCCCATGCTCACCTGTGCTCGATGCGGGATCTCTAAACCTATACAAAAGCTTAATCTTCACACTGATGTCTTGCATGTCTCTCCTCTTCCTCGTAATTACTCTCAAGCGTCTCGAGATCCTAATTGAATGTATGAAATAAAAGAAGAATATAGTGCACTTATTGCTAATGAAACTTGGGTACATGTACCTCGGCCAACCGATGCTAATATTGTTAATTGTATTTGGTTGTTTAAGAAGAAACTTAATGCAGATGGTTCTCTAGTGCGGTATAAAGCCAGACTTGTTGCAAATGGGCGTAGTCAATGACCAGACATTGACTGTGATGAGACATTCAACCAAGTTGTCAAACCATCTACTATAAGGACAACACTAAGTCTTGTTATTTCATATCATTGGCTGGTTCATCAATTTGATGTGAAGAATACTTTTCTACATGAACATATTCAAGAAATAGTTTATATGCATCAGCCACCGGGTTTTCTTGATCCATCCATGCCTGATAATGTATGTCTCCTACAGCGGTCCCTTTATGGCCTTAGGCAGGCACCTCGGGCGTGGTATCATCGATTTGTACAGTTTCTTCCTAGACTTGGGTTCACTAACAGCAAATCAGACTCATGTTTTTTTTATCTATCAACAGGGTGCTCAGATTGCTTACTTACTACTTTATGTTGATAATATTGTCTTAACGACTACCTCATCCACCGGTCTTCTTCAACAGTTTATAAAAAATCTTCGATCATAATTTTCTATGACACATTTAGGTTCGTTAAATTATTTCCTTGGCATTTCGGTTACCCGGAATAGTCACGACATGTTTCTTTCTCAACAAAAGTATGCCCATGAGATTCTGGAACAAGCTAAAATGCTTAATTGCAAGCCTGCTCACACACCGACAGATACTTCTACAAAATTTGATGGAACGTGGCCCCCTGTATCCGACCCTACACTTTATTGCAGCCTAGCCGGAGCATTGTAATATTTGACGTTTACACGTCCTGACATCACTTATGGCGTTCAACAAGTCTGTTTGTTTATGCATGACCCACGAGAGCCTCATTTCTCCGCTCTGAAATGCATTCTTCGCAATGTTCGAGGCATCACTTATGGATATTGTGTTTACCTTGGTCTGAATCTGTTATGCTGGTCTTCTAAATGACAGGGCACTATATCACAGTCTAGTGTCGAAGCCGAGTATAGAGGTGCTGCAAATGTTGTTGCCCATCACTCACTGCTACTATGGTATATTGTGATAATGTTAGTGTTGTTTACTTATCTTCCAATCTGGTCCAACATCAGCGTACTAAACACATTGAGATTGACATCCACTTTGTCCGGGATAAGGTTGCCAATGGTTAGGTTCGCGATCTTCATGTCCTGTCTATATTCCAATATGCTGACATTTTCATGAAAGGGCTACCGTCTTCTTTGTTTCTTGACATTAGATCTAATCTGAACGTCCGCTCGAGATCTCCCGTCTAGACTACTACTAGGGGCTCTTAACGTACATATGTATTGTGTATATTCATTTATTATGTTTGACTTGGCCCATTGTATGTAATCCTCTTATGGTAGCCCAATGTATTATGTATATATTTTGAATGGAATACAATATTTGATTATGGGAAATTATTGATTGTAACAATAAATACTAAATGTGTACAAAAACAACAAAGACTTATTTTGCAACAAAAAAAAATATTAAAGACTAAATGTACAAAAAAAATATTAAAGACTAAATGTGTACAAAGTGAGGAATATATTACTCTGTTAAGTCATTCTTTTCGGCTTATCTGAAGTAGCCGTTCATAAAGACCGAATGTGTACAGTTTAACAAGTTGAAGGCGTAAATATGAACGAAAAAAAAACTCAATGATCAAATGTGTACTAATCGAAAAGTATTTTACCATTTTAAGTCAATGTCCCTTAATAGTATGGAGACGATTAACTTGTTTGTAGAGTGAAAAGATTTTTTTTTCTTTCCTTTGGATCTCGAACCGTAAATTTGGTAAAATTTATGCACAAAGTATTTTAAGGTCGGTTTACTTGTGGGCCATGTTACTTTCTAATTCAAGCTCCAATGCATAGCATATTGAAGACCCGGCAGGAGCTTACATGTAGAAATATGAGGAAGACGAGGAGGCTAGAAGAGACCTAACTTAAAACAAAAATAATTTTTTATCCATCAAGTGTTTGGAGGAATGTGAAATCGTCGGTAAGTTATCAACGGGGCAAGAAGAGGCCCCTCGGTGGATCCTATAATTCCATTGTTTAGACTTCCAATTTGAAGTTTTCCATAAATTTGCACTTTTTTCCGATTTAGTTTATTCTGGTTTAGTAACATCTGCTATAATAAATGAAGATCAATATTGTCACATGTCAATCTCTCATGTGTTTTGACACTTTTCATTTTATGATATTTTTAAAATAAAAAATATTCACATGTCAATTTCTTGTTTTTCCAATTTTTAAAATTTAAAATTGAAAAGTCATATAATACTTATGTTCATATATGTAAAGTATTAAATGTAATTAACGTGATACTAATAAAAGTTTATTCTTTCATTATTTCAAAATATTATTTTAAAAAATACTTATTGTTTACACTTTAATATTTAATTTTTTTTAATCAATCTGTATAATATACGGGTCTTACACCTAGTAACATAATATACTTTTACCTTGATTTCAGAATTCAATGTCTTTATTTAGCAGCCTAATTACTAGAAATTAAAGTTAATTTCAGTTTTCCAAAATTTGATGGGACCCTTGGGATTAAGTAGCCTTTTCCAAGCAACTTGAATTGAATAATAAAAACCCTTTGAATATTTTTTTTGCTCTTGCGTTAGTTCTGCATCAGTGCTAATTTTTGTGACTTGATAATATTATTGTACAGCAAAGTGAATTAATTTCTAAAGAAAGTAAAGTCACTTGAAGCTTGAATTTTGGGTTACAAGCGGTGACATTTTGGGTAGGAAAAAAGTTCGTTTACCTACTTCCCGAACTCATCTCGCTGCTAGATATATTATATCTTGTCTACTGGCGCAAATATTAATGGTTTTTTATTCTTCAATTTGTGCACTACGGAAATTATTTAATAGGTGGATCAATTAACATTTATGTGTCGAGCTAAAATAATAAGTAATTCATTTATTTAAATGTATGATATATAGTTGTAAGTGAAATATTTTTTTAAAAGATTCAAGTCTAATATAAACAAAAAAATGTGACTAAGAATTTCGCTTATATGACCTATTTTTCACTTTTAGTATTAATAATTAAAAAATTATAATCTACTTTCCACATAATGCATAAGCTGATCAATTTCATTAGTCAAATAATAAAATTATATACGTTCTATTCAACCCTGTTCAGGAAACTAAGTCACCAAGTCTCATAGATCTCATAACTTGAGACAGCTCAACTCTTGAATACAGATGGGAAGTTGAGCTAATATTCCCAATTTCTTTATAATTCCTACCAACTCACGTACTTATGACTATTCCCAACATCCCATATCCACTATATAAATCCAAAGGAGCACATATACCTTCTCAATCCATCTCGAATCACCTTCTTAGCTTTGTTATTTCAAATATCTACCCTTTGCAACATAATGACACCTTACCACCTTAATTCGATCGTCTTGATTCTTGTTTCACTCAGTTTAGCATTTATCAGTGGAAATATCATTGCTGAGGCACGTAACCTTTTGGAGGTTCATGTGATTCCTAAGCCTGAGCTTCCCGTCGCTCCAAAGCCTGAGCTTCCTGTGGTTCCAAAGCCTGAGGTTCCGGTAGTTCCAAAGCCCGAGCTTCCCGTGGCACCAAAGCCTGAGCTTCCAATGGTTCCAAAGCCTGAGGTTCCGGTGGTTCCAAAGCCTGAGGTTCCGGTGGTTCCAAAGCCTGAGGTTCCTGTGGTTCCAAAGCCTGAGGTTCCGGTATTTCCAAAGCCCGAGCTTCCTGTTGTTCCGAAGCCTGAGCTTCCCGTCGCACCAAAGCCTGAGCTTCCTCCAAATCCTGAGGTTCCGGTGGTTCCAAAGCCCGAGCTTCCTGTGGTTCCGAAGCCTGAGCTTCCCGTCGCACCAAAGCCTGAGCTTCCAAATCCTGAGGTTCCGGTGGTTCCAAAGCCCGAGCTTCCTGATGTTCTGAAGCATGAGCTTCCCGTGGTAACTAAGCCTGAGCTTCCCGTTCCACCAAAGTCTGAGCTTCCTGTGGTTCCAAAGGCTGAGGTTCCAGTAGTTCCAAAGCCCGAGCTTCATGTGGTTCCGAAGCCTGAGCTTCCAGTCGCACCAAAGCCTGAGCATCCTGTGGTTCCAAAGCCTGAGGTTCCGGTGGTTCCAAAGCCCGAGCTTCCTGTTGTTCCGAAGCCTGAGCTTCCCGTGGTAACTAAGCCTGAGCTTCCCGTCGTACCAAAGCCCGAGCTTCCTGTGGTTCCAAAGCCCGAGGTTCCTGTGGTTCCAAAGCCCGAGCTTCCTATGGTTCCGAAACCTGAGATTCCCGTGGCACCAAAGCCTGAGCTTCCCGTCGCACCAAAGCCTAAGCTTCCCGTGGTTCCAAAGCCTGAGGTTTCGGTAGTTCCAAAGCCTGAGTTTCCGGTGGCTCCTAAGCCTGAGCTTCCTGAGGTTCCAAAGCCTGAGTTTCCCCATGTTCCAAAGCCCGAGCTTCCTGTGGTTCCAAAGCCCGAGCTTCCTGTCATTCCAAAGCCCACATTGCCAACAATGCCTAAGCTACCCAAGGAATTTCCTATCCCTTCCATTGCCCATCCGTAAAGAAATGCTTTTCTAAAAGCTTGAAATCTATTTATTCACTTTACTCCTACTACTATATATGTGCTTCATTAACATATTAATTATAGAATGTGCTTGTTTTTTATATATGAACTATTGGTTGTTGCAAATAATGTCTCATTCATAAATCGAACCATGATCTATAAATTAAAGGTTTACAATCTATAACATGAAAACAAATCAAGATTAAAAACCATCGTTTTAGAATTAAATAAATTTGGAATTAAGAATAATGTAAAATCAATAATTAATGGTCCTGCTATGAGATCTATTTCACCATGGTGCATCAGGTCCATCAGTCCACTAAAACACTAACTATAATTATCGAACTAAATACGCTTACAAAAACAGATTTATGTCAAATAAAATCTGGAGACCTCTCTTGATGCTATCGTTTATTGTTTTATATTGCTTATGTGTTTCGTAAGGAAAAACAGCATCAGGTTCGAACATATGTGATAATGGACTGGGACCGAAAAACTTTAGTGGATTGAATTCTAAATGAATTAAATGCTTATATTATAACACTACTGTCAGCCGTATAATTGTATGTATGTTGTATCTTTGTATTAGTCTATTAGTGGCCCAATGTATAGCAGCCCGCTTAGTGTTAGCCTATATCCATTGTGTTGTATCTAATAATTGGTGGAATATATTATGATTATTCATCGAAAAATGTTGTGTCAACATGGTTTTGTTCCCGATAAGGTCAATATCCTTATGTAACACATCAACCTCAAAAGCATTCCTACACGTTACCATCTGACCATATATGCATGGGTTGGTATTTCCACTCAATGCTGCCCTCTTTGCTCTGTGGAGACTGGAGACGGAATAACATTTGTTTATCAAATGCCCCATTCTATTGTAGATTTATTTGAGTCTACTTTTGGGAATAACATTGACAAAAAGCTCAAAACTATGGTGGAGGTGGTTCTGTTCACTTTAATCTGGTGTGCTTGGGGGTTAAGGAACAAAAAGGTTCCTTCGACCGAAGTTCAAAGTTTTCTTTTATGGATCAGTAGTGTTTGGCCTACAGGTTCTAATTATTTCTGATTAAATTGGCGTTGTACCCTTACATTTTGTGAATCCATGGTTAAATCTCTTTGACTTTTGACCATAATTTATTCTATGGGGATCACATATAGCAGAAAAGCCAACATTCAGTTGAAAAGTTAGTTTATAAATAAGTTATCTTGAATACAAAAGGTTGTTTTTTAAACGGTTACGGTATCAGGTGTTGCTTTTCTATTTCGAGGTCGGCGGTTCAAGTCACATCTGAAACACAGGTCAAATTAGTTGTATTTTAGAAATAGATTAGATTTGACATTCCCAAAAAAAAAAAAAAAATTAAAAAGGTAATTTATGAGCTACGATTGATGGTCTCACCAAACACCACATTGCAATAAGTTCAAAGTTGAAATTACGAATACCTTGGAGTAGATTAGATTTCTCATTCTAAAAAAATAATAATAGAAATTAAATAAATAATTTATATGCTACTTTGACGGTCTCAATAAACACTACACTGCAATAAATTCAAACTTATATAAGCCAAACACAACCTAAGTTGACTAAGATTCAAGTAACCGGTTTCTCGTTAAAATAAAATATCTTTAAAAAAATTTAAACAAAAGTAGAATGTAGACGGTCAAATCTATTAGTCGTTGTTTGTTTTTGAAAAGATAAATGTCTATGGTCTCCGACCCACGTCTATAGAAAATGATGTGACTAAACGTATGTAGTCTACAAAAAAATGTTTTTAAGTGTGCAGGTACATAAATGATATTAAACCATATTGACAGTGGTAGTGTTGTTATTGTTGTTGTTGGTGGTGGTATTGGTGATGGCAAAGGTGATGGAGACAGTGATAGTTGTGGCGGTGGTGTTTGTATTGGGGGAGGAGGTGGTGGTTGTGGCGGTGGTAAAAAATGTAACAATTCCAATACCGCCAAATAACTATATGAGCGTAATCAGCTTGACCACCTTCTTCTTCCACTTCGAGACCTTGATGGCATCAACAAAATCAAATGGGACCATAAAATTACCAATTAAATGAAAAGGGAGATGTCCACTGAGAGATCTTCAACCAAAAGATAAAAACAAGTGATTGATCAATTCCACGAGATCACCACAACCCAAGCACATAGAACAGAGGTCATCAATATCCCTAGCCTGCAAATTATCTCTATCTCCGGTGGCAATCTTGTTCAAAGTTAGTCTCCAAATGAGGATATTAACATTGATGAGCACAAGTTTGCACCATCAAGTGTTTAACATTGTGATTTTTACCATAAAAAATTTCTTTTATTTTACATATCTTTTAACAGAAAATAAAAACAGAAGTCTTAATTATTCAACATAATAAAAACAACCACTAACATTACGTTTATTTCAAAAACATCCATCAAACTGTATAAGTTTACGAAAACCAAATTTTAAGCAAAGTAATATGTTGTAATTTTTTTTTTTGGAACGACAAATCTATTCTACTCCTAAATTCATCTATGTCCGTAACAGGACTTGAACCCTCGACCTCAAGGAGAGAGGGCAATACCGAATACCGCTAGGCCTGAAACCCTTTGGTTAATATGTTGTAATTCCTTATTAGCTATTATTCTATTATTCATCGCTTTATTTATGACTATAATTATTGTCTTTAATTCTTCGTTTTAATTACTTATTATTATTTGTTCTTTACTAACATCATTTATCATCTTTATTATGAGCCTCCACTCATCACTAACCCAAAAGGTTACTAAAGTGACCGACACAGCCCATTGCACAAAGTGAGGCACGACTCTCACCCGTACCATTATGACACAACCGTTGTGTTCACTACTCCGACGATGCATGTACAAGTACAATTCATTCTCGTTTGAGAATGTAGATCATTCCATTGCTTCATACCTCTCACTCAACATGATATTTCATCCGGCACACTCACAAAGCCAACATCACACCAAGAAAAGTTTTGATGACAAAAAATGCATGTAAACTTTTGTTACTAAAAAATAACAATTATAAACTTGTCATAGAAAATATGTATGAATTTTCTTACAAAAAGAAAATCATATATGTTTTCCAAAAACAAAGATAAATAGTAAAAAAATAGTCTCTGATACTAATTGTTGGGTTTTATATAAATATATTCTAAAATAAATAGTCAAAACTACGAGTTTAGCAACAGAAGCAATTTTATGATTGAATTAACTAAAAACATTTTACCCACCAATGACCGTTTTGTAAAGTTTAAGAAGATTAAAACAACCAAAGGAAGGAAAGTGTGTACAACATTTCAAGACTTTGGTTCCTTTTGACAATTAGGAATTTGATGAAGATGGCATTAAACTCCAAAGTAGAAGCTCTCTATAATGTATCAACCAGGCAAGAATCAACCACCAAAGATGCTTGTATTCAATTGTATATTAGTTGTTCTTAAAACATAGAAGTATATACCAAATATACCTTCAAAGGAGAACCAAATAATAGCCTTTTCTCTACATTACTCCAAGAAAAAAAGAAGAAGTAAGAGCACCAAGGTGCTCTCGGTTTTGGGCAACAAAAAAAGACGAAGAAAACATATGAAAAAACTCACTACTTTTTCACATAACATATTCTTATATACTTAGACATGTGTACCTTTAAGCCATACCTTGAAACAAAGTCAAAGAAGCAATATTATAAGGCATGGGAGTCAAAGAAGCAAGACCACACTCCATCTCAATCTTCTACTAGCCACTTATGGCATTTAGAAGGAAAATGAGACACAAGATGTGTCTTACACTCAACCATGTAACTACTGATCGATATTAGTGCCCATATCCATAGCAAGCCCCGGTAATATTACTATATTTAGCAGTGTCATTTTGGGTTACATGCAAGAACAAAATAAAGCAGAACTGAAAAGATATTTATATGAAAGGCTTGTTTTGTTAATTAATTAATCGTTTGATTAATTAATTAGAAAATAATGGAATATGTAATATTCCATAATGGTTTCAATTCCATAGATAATTATTATTATATTTGGTAATTATCTTTAGGGTTTCAAATCATCAACCTATGTAAAGGAGGCTCTAAATCCGGTTTTGTTATAAGAGAAAAATACCTTTAAATCATAAAAATTTGAAACCCTCTCAAAACCCTTGAATTGTAAAAACTCAGTTCCCACAACATGGGCATTGGATTGCCATGATGTGGCGAGACACATATTCACGTTTCTTGGATCTGTTTGATGTTGGAGTTTGAGGATTGTTCGGATCTGCTAGAGTTATGCTTCTTGGGCATAATGATCTTTCAACCATATCATCACAAATATATATGGCATTCATTACATCCTATCATCATAAACCACAATAAGTTATCAACATTTCCAATACATATAATCCACACTAAGACTCATAACGTAATATTGTCTAACTTAGATTAATCGATTCATTGTCAAGAGTTGAAGTTCTCGACTATGTACTAGATTTAGAAAAATGATTGACTTACCTCAGGTCCAAAAGTAATAAGCAATGAATATGTTGGAGCATGGAAATGCTCTACAAATTATGAGTGATAATTAGATTAGAATATTCTCTTTATGTTTGTAAGATTCCATTTTACTTTATAAATAGAGGGGGATGGTCATTAGTTTTAATATGCACCAAAATGTAGTCTTTGTCTAGTTAGAGAGAATGGGAGAGGTATGTATCCCAATCCAAGAGTTCTTCATTGTAATATTTTCTCTCTTTCTAGGAATCATTGGATTACTCATCTTTTATGTTTTTTATATTTTTATTATCGTTAAAAATTCAAGATCTCTTATTCCGCACAAGCCAATCGTTCAAAACGGGATCCTACAATTGGTATCAGAGTTATACCTTGAAGATCTAAGCAATTATTTCAAGGGAAAAAACCCGATTGGCAACATTTCATCTTGAGATTTTCGGTTTTGGTATAATATTTCTTGGTTTCGCAACTACAAATTTTATGAT